ACCTCTGCCTTGTTGAGTCCTCAAACTGTTTCATTCTGCTTCTCTGACTTGTCTCTGGCATGATGTGTTTATCAACAACATTTTTGCTCTGCGTTTTTATTTTAAAAAATTGCACATCCTGGAAAGGAATTGAAGCCAAACTTCAGAATAACTTGGAGTTACTGAAATATGTGTTTCTCCCTGTCTCTTCCCTCCCCTCTGATGGTTTTTGCAGCAGAGAATGCTTGGGAGAGGAGCATAAAGGCATTGTCCCAATCAAGCACAAGACCATCAACTAATTTCAGCAGAAGAGCTTCTTTTTTTCTCCCCAAGAACGACCCAGCAGCCCATTTGCAGGGCAGCCCAATAAAGAGAAGAAGTGGAAGAGCCATTTGAAGGGCAGCATCCTCAGGGCTCAATCAGTGGGAGCACTGGGAAAGCCAGACCTGGATCTTGTTCCATCAGAGCTCTCCCGTCCGAGGCCGCTGCTCCGCCGCATCAAAGCCCACTTACTGGTGATTGAAGGAAGGGAAAGAAAAGAGCCTTTCTCTGACCTCAGAGAGGGGAAATATCCTTCAAATGCTGCTGTTTCACTGTAGGATCTCCTCAGAAACGTCTCTCTTTCAGGAGCAGGGTGTGTAACCCTTGCTGCTCCGGGATGCGGCCGTTCCTCCGGAGCAGCCCCCGCTCCCGGTGTCAGAGTTCTCCTCTCAGTGTAGAATTGTAAATTGTGCTTTAACTTATTTCCCAAATGGCCTGGCTCGATGAAGTCTCTCTCTGCAGGCCTTCTGCTGGAATGATGTTTGTGACCCAAGGCTTAGGGTGCTCCATGGCCTTTGTTTCCATGGGATGGTTCTGTTGTGCTCCTCGCTCGTGTCAAGTCCTGACGAAAATGCCTCACTCTGTACCAACAATAAATCTATTTTATGCACAAGATTGATGCTGCAGTCTGTCTCCCTTCCCACTCCTCGGGGGTGGATGGTGTTCCCTCTGCTGTGTCAATCACGCTTTGCCAGCAGATGTTGTTGCTGAAGCTTTCAAGCACAGACTTTCATGCACAACCAGCCCTGGTGTCAGGAACGGGGCTCGGATTGAGCTGTTTTCCATCACAGCCACCTAAAAGGATCCCACGTGATGGGAGTGTTGTGATTTATCCACCATCATTTCCCTCCTTGGGAAATGCTTGTGAATGGAGCAGCAAAAGCTCTTGCTGCCTGGAGAGGGTGTGGGTTCCCCATCCCTGGGAGTGTCCCAGGCCAGGCTGGATGGGGCTTGGAGCAACCTGAGGTAGTGGAAGGTGTCCCTGCCCATGGCAGGGGCTTGGGATGACAGTGTCTTAAGGTCCCTTCCCACCCAAACCATTCTGGGATTCTGTGAAAGGGCAGAAAATCTCCAAACCAGCTTTGTGCAAGCACCCAGTTTCCTTTAATTCTTTTTCTTCAGGTAAAACAGCCACACTCATTGTCCCAAGCAATCTTGGAAAGGACTTTTTACACAATAGTGAAAGTAATGATGTCAAATGAGCAGCGAGTCTGGAGCCTTCTGCTGCTTATTTACCTGTTCTCCCTCTCTAATTGGCTGTGTTTGAACCTCATCCTGCTGAACAACTGCGGGTGCACCTGTGGATCTCACTTATTATTCATGCAAAATATTACCAGTGACTTTCCTAATTATCAAGATGCTTTGTGAGCACTGTTTAATTAAGGATTTTTTTTTTTTTAATGCTACCCAGAGAAGCTGGGATTTTATTTTTTTTTAACATGCCAAGCAACTGTAATGTTGGTGGGAGGGGAGGATCCTGGAGTTCAACATCAGGTGCCAGGTAAACTGCTCAGGAGAAACAACGGGGACATAAGCACCGTGTTTACACGGTGACTTGCTGTAGTGTTTACAAATCAGCTAACTCACAAATCCTTCTCTCTAATGTTCTCTTTTGTAACAGAGAGCCAAGAAGTTGGCAGAGCCAGCCTTGCCAGACTCAGAATTGGCAGCAAAACACAGCACAGAGGAAAAGCAGACGTTTTTCAGGCCAGATGATGCTGTAAAATCAGGGGAAGAGCTGTGTCGGGAAGGAAGGTCTCTGTTACTGCCAAATGTTTATTGGTTTCTCATCCTGACAGCCTTGAGCAATGAGAGTCAGCCTTGCCTGCTTTGTTCCAACTGTGTTTGAGGTGTTGAGTACTTTAAACATCTTCTGTGGCATCAGGGGTGGCATCTGCAGCCTGTGGGGCTTGGGCTTGGGTGAGGCTGCTGGCAGCAGCAGGGTGAGGGCTTTGAAAATGGCCCTGGTGGTGGTGTGGGCTTCAGAACTGTCCATGGTGTGAACTTTAGAACTGTCCTTGGTGTGGGCTTCAGAACTGTCCATGGTGTGAACTTTAGAACTGTCCTTGGTGTGGGCTTTAGAGCTGGCCACGGTGTAAACTTTAGAACTGCCCTTGGTGTAAACTTTAGAACTGTCCTTGGTGTGGACTTTAAAACTGTCCTTAGTGTGGACTGCAGAACTGTCCATGGTGTGGGGTTTAGAACTGTCCTTGGTGTGGACTTTAGAACTGTCCTTAGTGTGGGCTTCAGAACTGTCCATGGTGACATTTTTAGAACTGTCCATGGTGTGGACTGCAGAACTGTCCATGGTGTGGGCTTTAGTACTATCCATGGTGTAAACTTTAGAGCTGTCCATGTTGTGGACTGCAGAGCTGTCCATGGTGTGGACTGCAGAACTGTCCGTGCTGTGGGCTTTAGCACTACCCATGGTGTAAACTTTAGAGCTGTCAATGTTGTGGACTGCAGAGCTGTCCATGGTGTGGCTTTTAGAACTGTCCTTGGTGTGCATTTTAGAACTGTCCTTGATGTGGACTTCTGAACTGTCCTTGGTGTGGTTTTCAGAGCTGTCCATGGTGTGAATAACCTTTGTCTTTAAAGCAGAGCAGTAATTCTGGATATTTCTGGCGTTTCACCACCACTTCTGCTTTTGCCACCTACACCTTCTCCTTTTGTGTACCTACATCCCTGTCCTGCTGTGGGTGTTTGAGTTTTTTCCTCTCCCCACTTGCTGCTGTGGGTGCTGAAATATTAAAATCTTGGAAGTTTCCTTTTTGGTATGGAAAACTATGGAAAGGTTTCCCTCCTGTTGATGATTTTAGGATTCTGTGACCTTTTTCAGCACCTGCAGGTCCCAAACCAACACCAGCTGTTGGTGACAGCAGGAGCTGCTGGGACAGAGCAAGGCAGCCTCCTTCACCAGCAGCAGGGGCAGAGAGACTGGAGGAGTGCCAGGATTTTTGTCCAGCGTGTCAAATGTGATTAGCAGGACCCACAAGTCATGGTTTGTCCTATGCCAGGTGACAACAGGCTGTGGCTCCCTGCTCGTGGTCAGTCCTGTTCCATCAGGAGCTGGGTGCTGCAGGCAAAAGCAGACAAGGATTTAGATTTGGGCACAAACAGCTGCAGATGTGGATTTTATGAGCTGGTCAGCCCACAATTTGCGGTGATTTGTGCTGAGCTGACACTCTGGGAGTGGCTGGAGACACAAGAGGGGATGTGGGAGGAGAGAGCAGAAGAGGGCGAGGTCCTGCAGCCCAGAGGGTCCTTTCTGTGCTCAGCCTCTCTTCCCACAAAACCCTCTGGGGCCATGGCCAGCACTGGTGACACCACTCACGTTCCTGTTCCAGCACTGACTCCTGAGGAGCTGGGGGCTGTTCCCAGTGTCACACAGAGCTCAGGACAGCAGTGAGTGACCCCCAGGGCAGGATTCACCTGCAGGTGAGGCACAGGGGCAGGGGTGCTGCTGGTGAACACCCTGCTGCTTTCACTCTGTGTTGGCTCTGTCACCTCCCTGGCTGCTCTCACAAGTGTCAGACCTGGCAGCAAGGGCATCTCTGGTTTGATCATCAGTGTTCTGGAGCAGCATCTGCCCCTCCCTGGGGAAGAGGGACAGGACCTGAGCTCGGCCATGGTGTGAGGGGGACCTGGCTCCTCAAGGCCTTGAGAGAGGCAGCAAAATTCCAGGAGAACGTGGGGCACTGAGCCAGGGCTCCTCTGCAAGAATGTCAGCTCCATGTGAACAAAGACACTGGGTAATTAGAGAAGTAATTAGTTTGGTAATTACTAAGGTAATTAGTTTGATTCTCTCTCAAGCCAGTAACTGCTGGGAAGTGCTGGAGGGAGCACCTTGAGTTTCAGGCTGCAGCACCCCCCGGGTTAACCCTTCACCCCCTGCATGGCAAGCTGCAGCTGGCCTTGGTGGAAATGAAGTGGGAAATTTTGGAGGGAAAATAACCCTAAACTCCCAGCTTGTCAGAGGTGTCGTGCCCAAAAACTTCTGAGCCACATTCTGATGGCACCCAGAAGAGCTTGTGCCATGGTCAGGGCAGGATTTGAGGCAGCTCACCCAGCAGTGGTGTGTTTATTGCAAGGTTTTATATTTCCTTAAGAATGCTGGGGACACCTTTTGGGTGGGGACACCTCCTGGGGAGCTGCATGGCAGTGTCCCAGTGTCACTGCTGAGGCTGATCCCTCCTCCTTGTGTTGGATCCTTCCCATCCTTTCACCCTGGGGCTGCTTTGCTGCTTCAGCTGAGGCATTCCATGGAATCCCAGACTGGTTTAGGTGGGAAGGGACCTTCCAGATGATCTCATCCCAGATGATCATGGGCAGGGACACCTTCCACTAGGCCAGGCTGCTCCAAGCCCCATCCAGCCTGGCCTTGGAGCCATTTCCAGCTTGGAGTGCAGCTCAGCACCTGGCGGTGAGTTTTTCTGCCTGTGTCCTATGAAACCAGGCATTTTCTGCTCAGGAAAACCATCCCTCCTTCCTCACCAAGTCCTGTGGGTGGGCAGGGCAGTGCAGCTGTCCCAGTGATCCCAAAATGAAGATCAAGCTGCCAGTGCTCATTTGGGAGGCTGGAGCTGCAGGAAGTGGATTAATTCCCCAGCAAACTGCAAACGAAGCAGATTCTTCCTCGTGTTCATCTGTTGCTGATACAGAAATAGCAGGGCTGGGAGGGACTTGGCACATGCTGGAGTCCACTATTCCCTAAAAACTGATAGAAGAAATTCACAGGTTCCTTCAGCTCCTTGCCACGTTGTTCACAAGTTTGATCGTGGTGGAGGGATCAGATCTGCAAAAGGTTCATGGGTGAGTGTAGTGGAGACAAGGAGATGAAAGTCCATTAATAGATGAAATGTTTTTGTCAGACATGAGAGTTCACTGGATCTCTCTCCTGTTTCCTATGTCAGGGAGTGAGAATTTTTTCTCCCCCCCTTCTCAGTTTTAATATTATTAACACTTGGCCTGCTTTGAAAAGGTCAAAGTCAGCTTGAATGTCTTCTAATCTGACTCTTGGTGAAAAGCAGGCAAACAAGAAATCTGTATCCCAGAGCTGCTTTTAAACAGCAGAGCCTGATAAAGGAGTTTGCAGCATTGAGTGGGGTCTGGCTGATAGCCAGGGGGTGTTTGAGGGCAGGGAAAGAGCTCTGAGCTGTGTTTTTGCTGAAAGTCCCACTCCTGGAATTGGGCAGACAAATTAAACCTCTGCTTTTGCCTGAAAAAATTATCTTTGCCATGAGAAGTCTGTGACCAGGATCCAGCTGCAGGAGCAGAGGAAAGGAGCAGAGCAGGAGAGATTTGTGCTTTTACACTTTGGAAGTTGATCCTATTTGGGGAATAATGTGAAATGCTGGGAATGAGGCACTGAGTGAGGCTGGAGCAGGTAGGTGGAACTGATTTAGGAAGAAAACCACTTTTTTTCAGCATCAAACAGAAGGGAAATCTGCCAGCTCCTGTGCCTTGGTCCCAGTTTGATCTCAGAGGAGCAGCAAGGGATGTTGTGGCAAACGAGTGCCTGAGTTCTTTGTTCCTGCAGGTCTGGGGGGAAATTGCTGGAGAGAGGAGGTGCGAGAGACACAGCAAGGATATTAAATATCCTCCAGTAAAACCAGAGCTGGCTGTGATCCACTCCAGGCCCTCTGGAGTGGGTATTTTCCCGGGAAGCACCGTGAGGTGGGGATGTGCCTGTGATCAGGATCATTCTCTCCAGCAGTGAACTCCGTGTGCTCCTTGCATGCCAAGTGCACCCTCAGGGAGTGTCACAGTGAGTCACCAGCGAGCCTGGCCTTGCTGTGGGGTTTATTTTTCTTCAAATGGAAGGATTTTAGTCTGACGTGGCAGCACTTTGGGGGGTTTGAGCAAAGCTGTTACCAAGGAGCCGGAGAGAGAATCAAACCCGTGTGTGACATCAAAGCTCGGTGACTCAGGGCTCCCACAGAGCCCCTGCCCTTCTCTGGGCTGCTCCTCCCAATGCCTCTGGGATCTGCTGGCCTTCCAGGTCCTTCCCTTCTGCTGCCCAGCGAGGTTGGAGCTTCCTGCAGGTCCCAGGGGACCTCATGTTCAAGGTGAGGTCATGGAATTGTTAAGGTTGGATCTTAAGCGTCATCAGATCCAACCGTCAGCCCACAGCCACCACCACAGCACGTCCTCAAGTGCCACCTCCAGGGGTTTTTTGAACATTCCAGGTGGTGGGACTCGAGACAAGGGGGTGTCACCTCCCTTCTTTCCCAGCTGAACCAACCGGAATTTGAATTTTGGTCCACGCAAGAAATGCCAAGTGCTCCATGGGAGTCACCCAGGTTGGGCATCGGGAGGAATTTCTCCATGGAAAGGGGGTCAGACCTTCAAAGGGGCTGCCCAGGGAGGTTTGGAGTGCCCATCCCTGGAGGTGTTCAAGGAATTCCTGGGTGTGGCACTCGGAGCTCTGGGCTGGGGACAAGGAGGGCATCAAGCCCAGCTTGGGCTCAATGGTCTTAGGGATCTTCTCCATCCCCAATGATTCTGTGCTCAGGGGGATGTGGTTTGTAATTTGAGCACCACCAAATGCATCATTCAGCCTTCTCATGCCTCTGTCTCCTGGTGGAAATCACTCTGCCAGCCTGGAGGACACAGAATGTGCAATGGACCCACCAGGAGTGGGCTCTGCCTGTGTGGGTGGCTGTGTCTCTCCTGTTTCTGAGTTGTTCCTTGGACAAGCAGAATTAAGGAATGCTGTTGGATTTCTCCAGGGGCTGTGTGGCCACAGGACACCCAGGGTTTGCTGGGAAAGCTGAAATGGCTCAGCAGCTCTGCCCTTGAGCTTGGCAGGTGAGAAACAGCAGTGTCCAAACAACCACTTTGCCCAAAAAAAAACCCCAAAAATATCAGTTTGTCACTGATGTCCCTGATGTGGATCATGTGGTGTTTTTTCCCTTGGATCCCAGCCTGCAACAATCACCTGCTCAAGACCATGAGGTGCTGAGGGCAGGCAAGGGCCCCAGAAGTTGCCTGTAGGAAGTTCATGACCTTCAAGCAGAGACAACCTTTTATTAAATGTGTTTAATGTTGTTGGATGAAGGGGAAAGCTGCCCTTTTTTTCAATGATTATTTAATTTTTTGGGGGGTGGTGTACAACGTGCCACACTCTGACTTCCAACAAACCAAAGACAAATGGCAGAAACACCAAACTGCTGTTCTGGGGGTTCAGCCCTTCTCCTGGGTTTGTTGTTCAGTGGTCTCTTTCCCCTGACAGAAGTTGTTCTCCACCTGATTGAAGGGATTACAAACATTCCTTCTGCCCAGCTCCATCCCAGCTGCCCCTGGGGAGCCCAAATTCCCTCCCTGCTGCAGGAAGGAGAAGGCTCAGGATCTCTGAGTGGGCACCTTCATTTTTAAATGGAGTTTCTGCTCAGAGGTTAAATCATTTCAGCTCTGATCCTCCTTAAAAGTGGTGATTAATCCCCTCACACAGAACAGGACCATGTACAAAAAACACCAACGTGGCTCTGGGCATTTTTTCCCCCCACCCAGTAATGAGAGCAATTCATAACCCAGCATCCCTTAAACATCCCAGTTCCTATGGAGGAGACAGCATTGGTCATAAAAACAATTCTGAGATGCTCTGCCCCCCAGTTTCTGGTGGGGAAAAAGTCTGCAGAGAAAAGTAATTGTTGGCTTAAAACTTCAGCCAGCATTCAGCAGCAATCCATCACCTCCCAGAGTGTTTGGGAGCTCGGGTTACTCAGTATTCAGGCTGGGAATCCTCAGCAGGAAAAAAAGGGCCTGGGGGCACTGTGAAATATTGCCAGGGAAATTCTCTCTAACCTGCTTGCATTTCAGACCCTTCCCTTTGCTGAGCAGGGTGGGAAAAGGAACCAAACCTCAATTCTTGTTCCTGTTCCTGTCCTAGGAGAAGCAGCAGGAGTGTGGGGATGGGGAGTGCAGCTCCATCCCTGGGATGCTGCAGAGGGGCTGTGAGCACACAGCTCCTGAATACACCTGGGCTGTAGTTACAGGTGTGAAACACACCTGGGATGGGTTTTCAGGTGCTAAATACACCTGGGCTGTGGATCCAGCTGTTAAACACACCTGGGCTGGGGTTTAAGGTGTTAAACACACCTGGGCTGGTGTTGCAGGTGTTGAACACACCTGGGCTGTGGATCCAGATGTTAAATACACCTGGGCTGGTGTTGCAAGTGTTAAACACACCTGGGCTGTGGATCCACATGTTAAATACACCTGGGCTGGTGTTGCAGGTGTTGAACACACCTGAGCTGTGGTTTCAGGTGTTAAACAGACCTGGGCTGGTGCTGTAGATGTTAAACACCCCTGGGCTGGGGTTTTGGTGCTAAACACACCTGGGCTGTAGTTACAGCTGTTAAATACCCCTGGGCTGGGTTTTTAGGTGTTCAATACCCCTGGGCTGGGGTTTCAGGTGTTCAATACCCCTGGGCTGTAGTTACAGCTGTTAAATACCCCTGGGCTGTGGTTTCAGGTGTTCAGTACCCCTGGGCTGGGGTTTCAGGTGTTCAATACCCCTGGGCTGTAGTTACAGCTGTTAAATACCCCTGGGCTGTGGTTTGAGGTGTTAAACACACCTGGGCTGTGTTTTTAGGTGTTGAACACACCTGGGCTGTAGTTACAGCTGTTAAATACTCCCGGGCTGGGTTTTTAGGTGTTCAGTACCCCTGGGCTGCGGTTTCAGGTGTTAAACAGACCTGGGCTGTGTTTTTAGGTGTTGAACACACCTGGGCTGTAGTTACAGCTGTTAAATACCCCCGGGGTGGGGATTCAGGTGTTCAATACCCCTGGGCTGGGGTTTCAGGTGTTCAACACCCCTGGGCTGTAGTTACAGCTGTTAAATACCCCTGGGCTGTGTTTTTAGGTGTTAAACACACCTGGGCTGTGTTTTTAGGTGTTGAACACACCTGGGCTGTAGTTACAGCTGTTAAATACCCCTGGGCTGGGGTTTCAGACCCCCATCAGTGCAGTGGCCCTGTTCCCATGGCCAGGAAATCTCCCTTTAAGGCAAACTGGGAGAGAAGCCAAGCTGCTGAAGAAGGAAACACAAAGGATTGCTGCCACTTCACATAAATTTACATCACCAAGGCTGTTCCAGGCTCCAGGGAGGTCCCTTTGGCTGCAGCTTGATGTTAATTCTCTGTAGTTACAGCCACCTAAGGGGGTGTGAATGCCAAACTTTCCATCCCTTAAGGATAATTTTTAAAAGCTGATGTTGATCCGTGCTCAGGGAGGCTGGGGAGGTGTCACAGCACTCACGGAGTGTCAGTGGGTCTAAAACCAAATCTGGCATTTCCTAGCCAGGGTTTGGGGATAACACAGCAAACCCCACCCCATTTGGGTCTAAAACTTCACCTGAAAGTTCACAGAATCACAGAATGGCTGGGTGGGGTTGGAAGGGACCTTCGAGATCACCTCATTGCCTCAGTGGCAGACAATACTTTTTTTCTGACCCAGAGATGGGGCAGCTGAAAGGCATTTTTAAAGCTTTTATTCCATTTTCAGTCTCATGTGAAGGGTGAGACAATACAGATGTTAGAATTCACCCCATCACAATCAGAAGCCAGCTATTTCCTAATTACAATACATTAAAAGTGTTTTTTGGTCTATCAGCTTTTTGTTACATTCTGCTGTAGGTGCTTTAAAGCCAATCATCTAAAACTACTTCTTGTGGGTCTTACTACAGTGTAAGGCACTACAAATCTACAAATCCATTTCCCACACCTCAGGAGCCCCAGAGGGAATGTTCTCCTGTGGAGATGCCAATGCAGGGCTGCCTCTGCAAAAAACATCCAGATCTGCCCTTCCTGCCACCTTCTCTTCCAGCACAGACTGCTGGAAATGTAAGATGAGGATGAGCAAGGCCATTTTCCAGTCACACTCCTGCTCCATCATCCCACAGCTGGGAACTTTCCTGCTTTGAGACACGTTGAGTCTGGAGCTGTCCTGAAGACTTCTCTACCCAGGGGAAACTCTTATTTGTTGTTTGTCCTTGGTGTAGTTACTCTAAAGCTGTTTGTCTTGAGGGAAGATCACCCAGCAACCCAAAGCTGCTCCTGAGAGATGTCAGAGACACAGGGAAAGAAAACACCAGGATAATTTTATTCCAGGGTGGTACCACCCCCTCTTCATCACTTACAGCTGGAAGCCCTTGAGTCAGTGCCTCTTCTTGCTGCAGCCCCCCTCCATCCCTTCCAACACGCATTTTGAGAGGGGCTTGAATGCTCCTTTTCCATCAGTGTCATTTATCTCCACGTGGCTCAGACCCTGAGCTCAGAAAAACCCAGGTGAGGCTGCACAGAAACAGATTTCAGACTTTTTCTGCACAAAAATAACGCCCCTTTGACCTCAGTGAGGACCTGGGGTGGTTTCTCAAATGCTCCATCCCTGCAAATGTCCAAATCTAGGTTGGACAGGGCTTGGAGCAGCCTGGGACAGTGGGAGGTGTCCCTGCCATGGCAGGGGGTGGCACTGGATGGGCTTTAAGGTCCCTTCCAACCCAAACCACGGATTTCCATGAATGAGACTTGGATCACTGTTTTGTCTGTGGTCCATCCTGCAGCTGATTATCTGGATGCAGATGGAGCCAACTCTTGCCTCTCGGGTTCGATTGAAATCCCAAGCGTCTTTGGCTTCCTGCCAGGACTCCCCAGCCCCCTGCCAGGGGTCACCCAGAGGGGTGTCCTGGGTTCCTACACTTGCCCTGCTCTGGATCCTCCCTCAGCTCTCTCCTCTCTCTGCTGGGAGCTGCTGGCACTGTTGGATCCCCATCCCTGCAGCCCCCAGGAATTCCCAACACCCCCTATGGCTCTGCACACATCCCTGCTCCAGAGCAGGCTGCTCCTCTTCCCCAGCCCTGGCCTCCCATCCTGCTGCAGCCCGAGCCAGATAATTGATCAATAATCTGTGGCAGAAAGCTGGGCTGTAAACCTGAGTTATGGGGGATTGAAGGGGCCATCCCTTGGGGCATCACAGAGGTTTATGTCTGGTCATATCTTGTGGAATAAAAATAAAACCTGACACAACATGCTGAATTATCCTCTGATGGGGAAGAGGGCTCCTGGCTGGCTGCAGTTGTTGCAGGGATGTCCACATTGTTATTGTTGGCCGTAATTAATTCCCTTGCTGGCAGGCTGAGCATGGAACCTGCTTTGGATCCCTGACTCCTCTTTTGCCTCAAGCAACAGGATCAAGGCATGCAGACAGGATGTTCCCAAAACGAGCAGGGAATTATTTTTTGGGTGCTGTTGATTCAAACCCAGGATGAAACAGCGACAACAAAAGTTTTCACTCAGCCCTTTGTAAAGGGAAGGAAGGGACAAAAGGAGCCTTTCTTACACCCCCACAAGTTGTTTATTGGATTAGATTGACACTTCTGGGAACAACCTGTTTGCATACCAAGCCCTCTCTTGTTAAACATCTTCATTAATTAACTCCATCTGGCTCGCCTGCCTTTAGATAGAAAAGATCTCTTGCTTTGATCATTTGCTGTTTACATCTTTCTTGCCAAAACACACAATAAACACTGTGTGGCACAAAACAAACAAAAAAAATCCTGAAACATGCTGAAAAACTGTCAAACACCTACAAAATGTAGGTTTTCTGATCCTGATCAGATCCTGATCCAGCTCAGTTTCCCTTGAGGACAACAGAGCCTAAAACCATGTGGATGGTTCAAGGTGGGGTTTGCCACCTCCAGGTGTTTCTGTAGCACCTCCAAGAGATGATGGTGTGGCCCCAAAATTCCTTGCCTGCAGACCTGGTCTTGCAAAGACTTGGGAGCAGCTCCTGGAGGAGAGGGAGACTGTGATGGTGGGGTCTGGAAGTCCCATCCATCCTCCATCCTTCCTCACCACTTTCCTGGGAAGCAGAGCGGGATTTGCACGGCTCCCTGTGAGCACCCTGTGAGTTTTGGGGGTTTTTTTCTGTGCCCATGATGGTGTTGGCTGCAGCATGGGATGGAGAAGGGACCAGAACTCCTCAGGAGGGCACGTGATGGATGCCTGGGGACAGCTGCTGCAGGAGACAATGCTGAGCAGAGCATTTTCACGGAGTATTTTC